TATTTTATTCACTGAAATGGAAAAAATGCAGGAAACACATAAACTTTGAATAAAGATTTCCATTTTTTAAAGATTTTTTTTTTTCTAAAGTATGCTGATGCTCTAGAATCAAAAGATATTGTCTTCTTCTTATCTGGCTTAGCAAGAATAATGGCCCCAGTTCTCATCTAAATATTTTTAAAGGGCACACATACTCATACACATACTCACACAAAAGTAAGCACCTTTTCCAAGAAGCATGTATCATATTGTTATGTATGTGTTTGTTTATCAGTCATTTTTAAAGGTCATTTAAAATCTAGTATCTGAATGATGGAGGCAAGAAAGAGCAAGTAGATTCAAGAGAAGCCAGAACTCCACAATGGTTGAAAGAAAGTAGGAAAATGTAGTTTTTATATTTCCAGCTATTTCATCTTAGAACTAGAATAACAATGAAGGAGAGTAAGTTGTTGACAATGACTGAAAAGAAATACTCTTTTACAGTAGCAAATATATTTTCAGTTCCCATCTAGAAAACATTGCTACTTGATAAAAAATGGGGTGACAGCTCTTAGAAAAGGGAAATTTCAGGGTGGAAAGAGGATTATTTTTTTCAAATTTGAAATTTTTTGATGACTTTTTTTTTTTTTATCAGTTTTAGATTTCTTTTTAAATATTTATTTATTTTTGGCTGCTTCAGATCTCAGTTGCAGCATCTGAGATGTTTTGTTGGGGGTGTGCTGGTTTAGTTGCCCCATGGCATGTGGGATCTTAGTTCCCTGAGCAGGGATCAAACCACATCTTCTGCATTGAAAGGCAGACTCTAAACCACTGGACCATCAGGAAGTCCCTAGATTTGTTTTTAAAAGTACAAAGATAAAACATAGACTTCCCATATATCCCATACCCAGTTTTCCCTACAACTTACATTAGTATATTTGTCACGGTTGACATATTATTATTAACTAAAGCTCAGATTTTACTCAGATTTCCTTAGTTCTCTCTTAAAAAAAAAATCCTCTATACCCCTTTTCTATTCTAGAATACTACATTAATTTTAATTATCATGTCTCTTTAGGCTTATCTTGATTGTGACAGTTTCTGAAGACTTTATTTATATTGGCCTTGAGAGTTTTCAGGAGTACTGGTCAGGTATTTTGTTAAAAGTCTGATTTATCTGATATTTTCTCTTGGTTAGATTGGGGCTGTGGGTTTTGAGGAGGAAGATCAAAGATACCATTTTTATCACATACTATCAACGTGATGCATCGGTGTTGACGTCAGCTGTGATCTCCTTGCTGAGGTCATGTTTGATAGGTTTCTCAGATGAAAATTTACGTTCTCCTCCTTTCCATACTGTCCTCTTTGGAAGGAAGTCATTATGAATAAACAGTCCTTACTCAAGGAGCGAGGAATTACACTCTACCTCCCTGAGGGCAGAGTTTCTATGTAACTTGGACTTCTGCACCATGGATTTGGCCATTCTCCCCATTCGCTTATTTAAGTCAATAACTCTTTTATATTAGTGTGGACTCATGAATATTTATTTTAAACTTTGGGTTATCATCTAAACCTATTTTACTTTGTTGCTCAGTTTTGGTCATTAGGAGTTCTTTCAGATGAGTCCTTGGACTTTAATACACTCATGCAATTCCGGGTTCTTATTGCTGTTGTTAGAGCACTTCCTTGTCTTCTGGCACAATAGATGCTACAGCTTCATCTTGTATGTTTCCTGCTCTGGCCACAGTCATTTCTCCAAGAACTCGGTTCCTTCACTGGAGCATGATATTAGAAACCAAGATCTGGGCACTAGGGAGTACTCACTGCTTCTAAACCCACTCAGCTGAGAAACAAGGAAATACATGTGTGTATGCTAACTCTTGCAAACACCCCATATCTATAATTATTTCTATATGCAACCATCTGTATCTGTATTATGCTAAACGTGAGTTCATAGTGATGTCTCCCATTCTAATCCATTTCCACATGAATCATTCTATCCTCTTCCCCTTGCTCATCTGTAATCTCCCACTTCAACAGTGAGAAGCCTGGCTCCCATCATCTGCATCCATTTACTAAATTACTCAATTCCAGTATACATGTAGAGTGGTACCAGAATTGTTAACCTGTATTCCCATGGGAAACAACTCTATCAACTATAGTGCAGTAATTATGTACAGTTCCTTTTGCTTTCAGCCTTACAGATTCAGCTCATTTTTAAAGTTACTTAGGTCAGCACATTTTCCCCTCTACTCTCTTCAATGAGATTGTTTCATACATTTTTAATATAGCTAGATTGTTCCATCACATTTTATAATTTCCTCCTGGGATCCTCTGACCTCCTAAGTGATTATTTATTTACATATTATCAAACAAAATAACAAATTTTATTCTCAACAAACCAGTCAAACCTAAAGGAAATCAACCCTGAATATGCATTGGAAGAACTGATGCTGAAGCTCCAATACTTTGGCCACCTGATGCAAGGAGTTGACTCCTTGGAAAAGACCCTGATGCTCCGAAAGATTGAAGGCAGGAGAAAAAGGGGACAACAGAGGATGAGGTGGTTAGATGGCATTACCAATTCAAAGGACATGAGTTTGAACAAACTCCAGGAGATAGTGAAGGACAGGGAAGCCTGGTATGCTTCAGTCCATGGGGTCACAGAGTCCAAAATGACTAAGCAACTGAAAATTCTCTACAAGGTATAGAATGAAAGTGGGAAGGGGAGAAGCCACTGTTGGAACTTGAAAGGACAGGTACAAGGTTAGAGTTTTTCTTAAATTTCTGTCTAATATCTGCTTAAAAATGGAAAATTTTTGAAAGCTAATATAATTCATTTTTAAAAATGTATTGAAATCTTTGCTTACAGTAAGGGACATGGTAAAGATCAAAAGTAAGAAACATAGCTCCTTTTCACAATTAAGACATGGATTTTTCCAGGAGCTTTCAGTAACTTTATAGAATATTCCTACTTGTAAAATGGGAATAAAAAGTTTCTCATCCAGACTAAAAATTTATAGTAGGAATGTTGATAGTATTCTGCCATTCAATGGTAAAAATTTAACCACTACTTTCATTTGAAACCCTGGTGATTACTATTCTGCCTAGCAACCTGGAATCCTTGGGCATTTAAGGTCCTTACAGTATCCAAACAGTTACCAGTATATACCTAGATTTATTCTTAAACACATGGGAGAATTTAGTGACCGTTCATGGAAGATTCATCGTGACTATAATAAAACTCCCCCCAAAAAAGAAAAAAGAAGGGAGGAAAAATTTTTTAAGGTTTAAAAAACAAATTTATTATCTCTGTAAGACTCCATAAATGTCATTTACTTACTAACATATAATTACAGACTTCCAAGGATACAGCTTAAACTCTTGCTGGATCATGTATTTATTGAATATCAGAAAAGGAGACATCAAAAGTAAATGCAAGTCAACCCTCAGGAGCAAACTGTGCCAAGGACCTTTGAGAGTTTCTTTAAGGAAACCAGCATTTATCAGCAACTCATTCCTACTCGACAGTTCATATGTAATGTAATTCACAAGTCTAGCCTCTGTAGTAAACACTGAGAGAAAGCTATGTTTGAGACCATGAATGTGTATTTCTTCCAAATACTTTCAATAGTTTCTTCTTCCTCCTTCCTCTAATTCAAAAATGAAATATCTGGAAGTATGAAAACTAGAATTTCCTAGTTAAATATTCAGAGATAGCATATTGTTAAATCTTATCAAAAGCTCATCTTTAATCATTTCAAAAAAATTTAAAGATACAATAAGAACATCTATTTTTTTCCTTCACAGACTCCCAAGAATATTCAGTAAGTTATTCTATAAACAAATCACTATGCTTTTCTAGTGATGTAAATTTTCACTACCCTGCACTATCCCAAAGGCTGCCTCAGACTAGCAGAAATAAGACAGGAAGGGAACTCATTCTGAGCAGGGAGGGAGACCAGAGGAGGAGGTAAGACTGGAGGCAAGGAGCGGGATAATGAGAGCTCAAACTCAAGGTGATGCTTTAAAAAACATAATCTAAAAGGTTTTTTTGAGGGAGGTGAGTTAGGGGAGAGATGTAAGGAATTTATCTATACCACTGCCTTCATTAAGGGAGTCCTCTGCTATAAAAGAAGGCACTAAAAACAAGCTCACAGAGAGGAACTTTCTTCCAACCAAGTCCTTCCAACCAAGCAATAATTACTGTATTGACTCACACAGTACATTAGCACAAATAAATAGGTAAAATAATGAGGAATCAATAAAGTTTGATTTGAAAATTCTCAAATTCTAAAAACCCTAAACTGCTGGAGGAGGAGAAGAAAAGAACTACCTATGTACTCCCCCGAACACTGATGTTTCATCAATTCTTCCTCTCCACACAAAAAATCAGGAGCCCCCTTGGTGTCAAATACCCAGAATCACAGCCAAAGAAGCAAGTGTCAACTCAGCAGGACTGACTGTCACACTCCTCAGAAACAGATCTTCCCAGTGCTTTGAGGGTTCACATTATATAATAACTGACAAAGTCCACGGAGGCATAGCTGCCAAGAGATGGATACAGTAAGAAAGTCACAAAGCAGAGTTGGCTTTATTTGGAAGCACTTTGCCAGGATTCACACCAACCCAACACAGCAGCTATTTATTCCCCCGGGGGGATATGAAGGAACTTTGGGAAAGTATTTGCTCAAAGACACTTATCGTTTCCATCTACAGTACTGGAAGTTGCTAGCAGAGATCTCAACAGAGAGCTAAGCTTGAGATTTAACCATTAAATCTGACTTTCAGTCTCCTAACTCAAATACAGGGGCTTAATAAAGTAATCTTTTTCATTTTCAGGAAAGTAATCCTATTAAGAGTTCAGCATGCCTGGGAGTTTACCTGCTTCCCTGAGGGTCGAAGGATTTAAGGGTTAGATGGGTAATGCCACAGAATAAAGAGGAGCATCTTTGCAAAGGTTCATCTCCCAGTGTGTAAGATTAATGACCAGGGAACTGCGGAGTACCCAGATAACCTACCTGCCACTCTGGTCTGAGGTCCATGTGACTGATCGCCCCTGGGGTTTGGTTCTGTACCGTATCCTTATGGCATGAGGAAAGTCAGCAGCTGTCTGAGCCCCTGTCTTCCTGATCTGTAAGCTCCAAGGGTCAGTGTCAAACAGGAGTTCCCCGCAGCCAGGGGCCTGGCTGCAGCGAGCGTAAGAGTCGAACTGCTCCCTCCAGCGATCTGCAGGCAGAGCCGCGAGTTCATGTACAATCTGATTCCTGAGCTTGGGAGACCTTGTAAATTTTTCAATACCTGGCACAGCAGCAACATCCACCTCCTCAACCTTTAACACAGATAAATCACAGCAGTCCAACACTAGCAAAAATTCCTCACTCCCATGATTCCCTGTGTCACAGCAGTACTTTGAGCTAGAAATCCCAGAAGCCTGTTCCTGGTTGTCATGGTTACCATCTTTACCAGAAGTATCTTTTCCACCTTTACCACAGATTACAAAATCATCATATCCTATTTTAGATGAGAAGGTCTTTGTACTTGTCACAGGAATCTGGCAGGGTTCAGGCATCCTAAATCTGCAGGCTTCGTTTGACTCTGATCGGCAGGCTACCTCGGTGGAACTACTCCATTTCTTGAATCTGTTTCCAGTCTCGAAGAAAAGCACTATGGTGCCTTCAATGATTTGACTTTCGAAATCCACATCTAAATCCAGTACATAGTGTTTCACAAGTATGTGGCTGGTGTTGGCCATGAGAGGCAGGTCATCTCGAGAGGGATCCAGCTTTATGTCCATGGTAGTACTGTTCAAGAACTTTGGTAAAATCTCAGAAGGGGCTTCCTATCAGTCCCAATCTTCTAGAGTCATAAATGGCTGCTTTCCAAAAAACACCTGATGTCACAAATTGGGATTCCACAACTTTCAGGCCCCTGGTAAAGAAGAAAAACACAATGAGACAAATTCCCAAACAAGATCCTTTGCTCCTGCAACTGCTGCTTCTGCAGGTTGATTACCTCCTTAAATAATTCCACAGTGTAGTAGGAGCTCATGGCTACAAGGCAGACTAATCTTTTTGACTGACATCAAACAAAACTACATTATGGGCTTCTAAAAATATTTCAGTTGTCAATGGAATAAAAGACGCCTCCGCAAAATCAGAAGAATCATGTTCCTAACTATTATAGTAGAACAGTCCTTGTCTTGGAAAAGAACGATTGTTGGGCAAAAATGTAACTGAGCATCACTGTACCTCTTGTTTTAAAAGATATTAAATGTATCATTTCTAATTTTGTGCATCATAAGAAAAGTGATTGTTTTTCTACTGTGATTCTAAGTAACAGATGTGAATGAAGGCTAAATGGCCTCATACGTTTTATTCTTTGAGAATAATAATTTAATACATACAATGTAACTCCAGGGATTAATGTACTTTTCACATTAGGACTATTCTCACATCAGCACTTCCAGTAAATTACAGGAAAATGAGCCAATTTACCAGGAGTGCATTCGAAGTATTCCTTTGAGATTGTTCACAGAGATTTTTCAAATTTATAGTTAAATACTCAAGGTATATCATTACATCTTAATAGCTGAAAACCCATTAACATTCTGGATAATAGCCTTCTTGTGGCAAACAAAAAGGTCTTCTCATTTGAAAAAAAAAAAAGTATGCAAATACCTATAAAAGGAAGGAGAGAAATTAAAATGTAGAAACAGATGTTGTAATAAAATACCCAAGTTCTTCGTAAAAGTTCTGAATCAAAATGTAGTCTTATTTTAAAACAGCAATCTAACTAAAAGAAAAATTATTTGAAATTATTTCAATCCCTGTTGTGTACCTAATTTCTTTCAATATTTTTTTTAACCAAAAAGTGAAAAAAAAAAAAAATGGCAGAGGAAAAGAAATGAAAACTCTGACAAAGCAGAGTTTTTAAAAAATCACTTTTGTATTTCTAAATATCAAGACGTATTCTTTCATCAACTACAAAATATTACTTGTTTGACTTTTCAAGTAAAATTGAGCCCTCCCTTTTTATTAAGTCCTCCTCACTTTCTGTCTAACTTTATCTGCCAATCTCCTAGATTCTTATTTCCTTTCCTTCTAGAATCTTATTCCAACAATTAAAGCTATTGAATTTTCATTTTCTACCTCCCCACAGGCTATTTCCTCATCAAAATCTCACCTAGCCTTAAAAGGAGCTGGCTTCCAGCAGACTTGTACAGTCTGGTTTCAAGCTATTTTCCTTGTCATGGAGACCACAGTCCCTCCAGATCCTTGCTCTCTAGTCAAAGGGCACACTCAGGACTTCTCTGGTGGTCCAGTGGTTACGATTCCAAGCTTCCACTGCAGGGGCCTCCGGTTCGGTCCTTGGTCAGGTAACTAAGATTCCACAGGACTCACGGTGTGGCCAAAAAACACAAAGGCCTGCTCAATAGACTGCTCCCCAAAGATGACCTGACACCTTACCTCCATGCTTTTTGGACTACTGTGTCATACCTGCAGTGCTCCTGGCTCCCACCTTCCGTATCTACCTGCCAAATTCTATTCTCCCTCCACATAGTTTAAGTGCAATTGACTCCTGAAACCCTTCCTGCTCCCTCTCTTCCTCCCTCCCCATCCCCTCCACTAAACTGTGCGTGTTAATATACACTTTGACTTTTAGAATGATAAGAACTAAGAGTAATCAGGGATGTAAAAGAATAGTCTGAAATCACTTTATGGAGAAGCTGGCACACACTTTGGGCTTCACAGGTGCTGCTATTGGTAAAGAACCCGTCTGCAATGCAGGAGACGCAGAAGAAACAGTTTGATCCCTGGGTTTGGAAATCCCCTGGAGGAGGGAATGGCAACCCACTCCAGTATTCTTGCTTGGAGAATCCCATGGACAGAAGAGCCTTGCAGGCTACAGTCCATAGGGTCACAGAGAATCAGACATGACTGAAGCGACTTAGCACCCATGCATGGCACACACTTTAGTCCTAGAAAAGTCAATGGGCAAAGGAAATAAGCTAGGGTATTTGCCTTTTGGCGTGAGAACTGAAATTGTCATACTATTTATAATAAACTTCAGTAAAGCTACTGTCAATACTTACGTAATCAGAAACAACAGATTGTTAAAACTTGACCCTGCTGGATTTCAGAGTTGCTATAACATACTATTTTGTTGATTGGGCTATTAAAACACTGGTTTTTGTTTAATTAAAAAATACCTGGACACACACAAAGAAACCTCTGAATCAACTAAGAAAAGGGTTAACTTGGTAGCTGTCTAAACTATGAAATTTGAAAAAGAACACATTAGCATTTGTAATAATATAGATAAAACCATTTATTATCTAAACTTAATAGATTCCTAATGTGAAAGTTAATATAATTTAACAATAAAATATGTTGTGTAGAGTGGTTTTTACCACTTTTGTCCCTGGTGGCTATCCCCAGGCTACCTTAGAGCCCTGCCCATCCAAGTCTGTTAATGTCACTTTGTCTGTCAACCTAACTGGAAATCTTTTAGTCCTCTTTATGAGATTTTTTAAAAATTGAAGTGTATTTGACTAAAAGTATTATATATAAGCTATAGGTGTATAACACAGTTATTCACAATTTCTAGAGGTTATGCTCCATTTACAGTTATTATAAAATATAGGCTATATTCCTTATATTGTATAATATATCCTTGCAGATTATTTTATACAAAATAGTTTGTACCTTACTCCTTTACCCTTATGTGCCCCTTCCCCTTCCCTCTCCCCACCCACAATCACCAATTTGTTCTCTATATCCATGAGTTTGCTTTTTTTCTGTTATATTTACTAGCTTGTTGATTTTCTTCAGATTCTATATATAAGTGATCTCTCACGGTATTTGTCTTTCTCTGTCTGACATTTCACCTGGAATTATACTCTCAAAGTTCATCCATGTTGCTACAAATGACAAAATTTTTATTCTTTTCTATTGCTGCATAGTACTCCATTGTGTACATATATATATATACACACAAATATATATATATACATATATACATATATATACACACACCACATTTTCTCCCATTCAGTAGACTGGCTTTTCATATAGATAGATAGATAGATAGATAGATAGATAGATAGATAGACAGACACACACACACACCACATCTATTCATCTGTTGATGGACATTTACATGGCTTCCATATCTTGGCAAGTGTAAGCAATGTTAATAAGAACACTGAAGTGAAAATATCTTTTCAAGTAAGAATTGCCGTTTGGATATATACCCAGGAGTGGAATTGCTATGGTTGTCCTATTTTCAGAATTTTGAGAAACTTACATACAGTTTTCCACAGTGGCTACAACAATTTACACTCCCACCAACACCGTGCAAGAGTTTCCATTTCTTCACCTTCTAACCAATGCTATTTGTGTTCTTTTTGATGACAGCCATTCTGTTAGGTGTGAGGTGATATTTCATTGTGGTTTTGATTTGCATTTCCCTGATGATGATGAGTGATATTAAGCATCTTCTCTTGTAATCATGTTGCTTGTTTTTTATGTTGAACCATATGAACTGTTTATATAGTTTGAATATTAATGCTTTATTGGTCACATCATTTGCAAACATTTTCTCCCATTCAGTAGGCTGTCTTTTCATTTTGTTGATGGCTTACTTTTCTATTTAAAAGCTTTTAAGTTAAATTAGGTCCCATATATTTATTTTTGCCTTTACTTCATTTGGGAGATAGAGCCAAAAAATAAATATTGCTATGATTTATGTCAAAGGGTGTTTTGCCATGTTATTTCTTCTAGAAGTTTCATGATTTTAGGTCTTACATTTAGGCCTTTAATCCATTTTATTTTTTTGAATAGTGTTAGAGAAGGTTCTAATTTCATTCTTTAACATGTGAATGTCCAGTTTTCCCAGCACAATTTATTGAAGAGACTCTTTTCTCCCTTGTATATTCTTGCCTCTTTTGTCATTGACTAATTGAATATAAGTGCATTACTTTAGTTCTGGGCCTTCTATCCTGTTTCATTGGTCTATATTTTGCTTTTGGGCCAATACCACTGTTTTAATTACTGTAGCTTTGTAGTATAGTCTGAAGTCAGAGTGTGGTTCCTCCATCTCTGTTCTTCTTTCTCAAGATTGCTTTGGCTATTTGTGATCTTTTGTGTTCCCATACAAATGTAAAAATTTTTTGTTCTGATTTTGTGAAAAATACCATTGATATTTTGATAAGGATTGCATTAAACCTGTAGATTGCCTTGGATAGTATGTCATTTTAATAATATTGATTTTTCCAATCCACAAACATCTGCTTATGTCATCTTCAATTTCTTTCAGCATAGGATTTTCTATGAATAGTATCATGTAACCTGAAAACAGTGACAGTTTACATTTTTTCAATTTGTTGATGTAATGTATTACACTGATTGATTTGTGGATATTGAAAAATCCTTGCATCCTTGGGGGTAAATCCCACTTGATCAGGGTGTATGGTCCTTTTAAAGTATTGCTGGATTTGGTTTGCAAATATTTTGCTGAGGATTTCTGCACCTATGTTTCTCAGTGATATCAGTATGTAATTTTCTTTCTGTGTGTGTGCATGCTTAGTCACTCAGTCCTATGTGACTCTTTTGAGATCCCGTGGACCTGCCAGGCTCCTCTCTCCAAGGGATTCCCCAGGCAAGAGAATATTGGAACGGGTTGCCATCTCCTCCTCCAAGGGATCTTCCTGACCCAGGGATTGAAACCATGTCTTCTGTGACTCCTGCACTGCAGGTGGATTCCTTACCTGGAAACTCAGCTGGTAAAGAATCCACCTGCAATGCAGGAGAATTTGATTCGATTCCTGGGTTGGGAAGATCTGCTGGAGAAGGGATAGGCTACCCACTCCAGTATTCTTGGGCTTCCCTGGTGGCTCAGATGGTAAAGAATCCACCTGCAATGCAGGA